GTTCCATAATTGGTATTCTTTTTTCTTTTTCTGGTTAATCCAAAACGGAATCTATTGCTTGCAATTACTGTTGAAGAATGCTTTAGGTTTAGGATACCAGCTGAGGGAAAAATTAGTCAGAACTTGATTTTGAAATGCTTTGTAATTGCTCTTGCATCATATCATAGTTAACACCATCATGATTCATGTCTCGTTTCAACTACAATATTAAGTACCTTTTACTTCACGTAAAAGAGAGAAAGTTTTGAAGAAAACACAATACATATCATTTTAAGTCTTTAACAATCGAACATTTAGTTTATTAATTATTACGTGATCCATTATTAAAAAAATAAAATTCAAATCCTCCTTTTTTTAATTATAAAAAAAAATCATTTCAAGTCTTCATGATTTGTGCTCTTTTAACTTTTTTAAGTCTTTTGTTTAGCACAATATCTTTTAAACATTTAAGCCAAATCTTTTTTAAGTATTTTTTTTTGGGAAAGAAGTAAAATACGTTTTTAATGATCATAATTGAAAAGTCAAATGAATTTTTAACAATTCAAACTTGCGATACAATTAAATTTTTATAAATTAATAATTTTGAGATCATAAAAATTTATTAATTGAAGTATTAGTTTATCACTAAATTAATAATTTATTAATTTATACAATAATTAAATTTTTTTATTCTTAATTGTTGTATAAATTAATCATTTGGCATCAGCCTTGATACTGGAGCCTGTTTCACCCAAAAATACACTTAAAGTAACAATCACATTATATAATTTGTATATACCTATTTATGTATATTAAATTGTAGTTCTTGGCCTCCAAAATACAGATCAAAATTCTTATTTCAAATTATTATAATAAAAATATGTACTACTACCTTTTTCATCAAATTTTTAATTTTCAATATCTAAATAAACAAAAGGTTAACATTGTTTTGAGTTGTTTGCATTTTTTCCCTTTCATTTCTTTAATATTATTTTTTCATTCATTACTTATCGTTCAAAAATATAGAATATAAATAATAATAATTGGATTTCTAGAACTTGATTCATAGTTTCGATCAACACTTCAACTATAAAAGTGTTTATTATCCAAGTGCAAATTTAATTAACAAGTTCTTTACACTTTGTTTTTCCATTATTACCCATTTTAATTTGTTGTTTAGGATGTTAGTATTTGATTTAGTATCAAGCTCATTAAGATATTTTAGATTTTTAAATGCTTTACTTTTTCGAACATAGACATTACCTATACTACCTTTAAATTGACAAATGAAGTACCTGAGAAGTGGAGACATCTCTTTTTCAAGTCTTTGCAAAATGTTTTAAATTGTTTTATATTAATGA